GCCTCAAGCTGTCCCCCTGGGTAGAGTGCCATGGCATTACAGCTCACAGCAACCTCCAACTCCTGGGCTCAAGCGAGTCTCCTGCCTCCGCCTCCCAAGTAGCTGGGACCACAGGCGCCCGCCACAACGCCCGGCTTTTTGGTTGCAGCCGTCATTGTTGTTTGGCGGGTCCGGGCTGGGGATTCGAACCCGCCACCTTAGGTGTACGTGGCTGGCGCCTTAGCCGGTTGAGCTATAGGCGCCGAGCCCACACACTCTTTAAATTCTCACTTGATCTGATTGTATTTTTGACACCAGGTGCACTACCTTAATTATTCCTGAGAGCAACCTTAGGAAGTGGCTACTGTTACTACATCCTCATTTCAGAGATGAGGAAAGCAAGACATTTGCTAAAGATCCTACAGGTGAGAATGGCTGAAATAGAACTCAAATCCAAGTTTCTCTAACTCCAAAGACAATACAAAGCAAGGTCAGATGATAAAGTTTGTGAACTCATCCCAGAAAAAGTGCTCCCTACCTCATTGCTGAATGTCACTGTGGTCACCAGATGGCCAAGTGGAGTACTTCTCATATTTTATGCCAGCAACCAGGAAACTGTGGCAGTTATTACCAGCTTGCAAGTAGGGTAAAATCTCATTCCCGTCACAGCTCTTGACAGAAGTACCAGAAGACAGGGAGGTTTATCTTCCTATGGAGATGGGTCAAATTTGTTCTTGTTCTTACTAAAAAGTAAGGAAGTTTGAGGGGCGGGGAGTTCTCAGTTCCCTGAACCCAGCTGACCTGGTTCGATTACTCAGCTGTGCTAGAGAGTTCAACAGTCATGGTGGAAACTGAAAATAAAACTGGAGCAACATAGGCATTGTGAATACAAAGCACAAGTTTCAGTGTAACAAAGAGAAATTTTATTTAAGAACAAAGAGAAAGCTTAGAGCACTTCCAGAGAGAGCTGGAAGTGGATCCCTCTCGTGAAGGAGAGGTGAGAGAGACTGAGATGGCAAAGGCAGTGCAGTGGTATAAATACCTCTTCCTCTCTACTTGCAATTGGTTGCAACTCTTTCATTGGCCTCTCTGCACCTCAAGGCATCATTGCCCTGTTCTATTGGTCACTGATTATTGTCTTTTTCTATTGGTCATTGGTTACCTAGGTTACGTCATGCCCACATTCTTTTCCTTTTATTGGTGGGAACTGCTGAGTGGTGAATGTTCCTGTGGGCTCTCCAAACTTCCTTGTTTAGCAGGCCAGGCTTCCCTTCCATCCCCCTGGAAGCCCCTTTCTTCATGCCCCTTCTCAAGTCATCTACATTGGCATCCGTTGGACTAATATCAAGTAGATCAATATTAGAGCCCAGAGAGCCCTAGAAAGACAAAATGCCAGGGTGGGAGTCTCCCCTGATCACTTACTTAAAGCTCCCTGGTGCCAAGTTAAGAAAAGTGAAGCCCTTTGCAAGTCCATATCCTCAAAATGCTCATGACCAGCCATGGCCCACCAGCGCAATCTGACATACTCCTGTTTTAGTAAATATGGTTTCATTGTCCAGGTGTTATCTGTGGCTGCCATGGTGCTACAGTAATAGTAGAGTTGAGTGGCTGCGATGCAGACTGTAGGGCCTAGAAACCCTAAAATATTTACTATCTTGCCCTATACAAAGATCTAAAGGAAGGGACAGACACATAAAGGATAAAGAATTCCCTCTGATTATGTTGAAGCAAACGGAACGGGACATTATGTGAGCGTAGAATACAGAGCTACACACGCACACACATATGCACACACTCCCCACCATCATTCACACACACAGTCTCATTTCAGTCTCAAGTAGCCTTATAAGACACATAGGGATCATAGCCTCTGGAGCCAAACTAAATTTAAATTTAAAGCTTTGTCACTTATTAGCAGAGTGATCCTGGGTAAATTATTCAACATCTCTATGCCCCAGTTTTCTCACTTGTTAACTGTAAGGCTACCTCTGCATCAAGGGTTACTGAAAGAGTTAAAACTGCATAGAACAGCCTGACAAATATTTAAATATTTGCTCTTATTATTTTCTCCCACTTTCCAGAAGAGTTAACTGAGGGACAGAGAGGTTAAGTAATTTTCTCAAGGTCGCACAAGGACAGAGGGGGAGATAAGACTTAATCTCAACTCTAATTCCAAAACCTAGGCTTTTTATCGTTGCTGTTATATTGCTTCAATAATGAAGGCTTATTGAATTTCTAAGTTAAATCACCATAATAAAATTTCTTTACTTTTTCCAACAAGGCTTTTTAGTTTTCCAGGTGTGATTTGTGGGTTTTTTATGGGCAGGTCCTACAGGTCTCTGTGAGTTCCACAGGATTATTTGAATTCATGATTTTAACGTAATGATGCTTGACACTTTGAGGATTGCCCTTTGAAGTCCACTTTTATTATTAAGCTAATTATATTCATGGCTTTAAAATGGTAAGCTCAAGCAAAGCTTTTGCTAGTGATCTATGTAATAATACTCAAGTCATTGTAAAGAATGTACATTTAAATATTAACCCCCAAATAAGTGACTTGATACTATTGTATGATTCTATACCTAGAACAGTCATATTTTCTATTTGCTATATAGCCTTTAGTCAGTTTGTCCTACTTCCAGTATTTGGTCAAGTTTAAGAACAAATAGTATGGGCAGCGCACAGTGGCTCATACCTGTAATACTAGCACTCTGGGAGGCCAAGGCAGGTAGATTGCTTGAGCTCAGGAGTTTGAAACCAGACTGAGCACGAGACCTTGTCTCTAAGAAAATAGCTGTGCATTGTGGTTGAGGCAAGAGGATGGCTTGAGCCCAAGGGTGTGAGGTTGCTGTGAGCTATGATGTATTTTGTTCTCAAACCACCCAACTGGTCAGTGAAAGAGGAAATCTCACACCCATATAAATTGGACTCCAAAGCTCCCCAAAGACTGTCGCATGTTATTACCTAGGCAGAGCATTTATTTGTGAGTGCATATATAAGGTGGTTCCAGAAACTGAATATCTGAATATCTATCTCCTAGTGTTCGCCACACTACAAGGGGGTGACAGAACAAAAGCAAGGGGCAAGGGATGAGGCGAGCCTGTGAAGAGTTTGCATTCCACTTGGAGATGCTGATGAGGAAACAGATACAGCAGCGTGAACCAGATTTATTTCTAGATATTTTATAATTTTTGTTGCTATTGCAAATGTATTTTCTTTTTATAGTTGGCTGATTATTAAATTTTATGGTTCTATACTTGAATAGTAAAACAGAATAGATGAACCTCAAAGACCTTTGTGAGAATAAAACTTAAACTATTCTTATTCAATAATTATTTAGAATCTAGTTGAGAGAGATATAATACAGAATCATCTCAAAGATGCAAAAAGAAAAGGCAAGGAAAAAAGGGTCTTTATCATGCACCAGATTAAAAAAGTGGTGTCTACCTGGGGGGCCCTATTCCAGTGGCTCTGCATAGAACTTTTGATGTTAGGACATTGGCCTATGAAAATTCTTTTCAGAACGTAGTAGGAGGTTGCTATTTGAAGATGCTATTTTTCTACCTTACATTTTTCTGTCTCTATGAACCTCCCAAAGAGAAATTCCCCTAGTCTTTATTCTTCCTAAGAAACGGCCCTGTGCTGGTATCTCCTAGACCCTAATATAAATCACATAACAAATAACATTTCCCTCTGCCTGGTAGCCAGAGAGTTTAAAGTCAAATTTTCTTTAATCTCTAACAAATGTACAGCATTCATTTTTATGAATGCATTTTGAATTCTAAGCTCATTCCTGGCCTTGTTAAACTTTTCCCCCAGTACGTATGCCTGTTTTTATTTTATTTTAGTTATGTCTTACAGGTCTTTGTAATGTACTTTAGATGCTTTCTGGATCAAAACAGACTTCAAAATGCTAAGACGGGTTTGTATCCTTATAATCCATGCTCTAACTTTATGAAATTGTATGATAAATTTAACTACTATACTCTTTGAAATAAAGAATTTTATTCTGAAATAAAGAATTATAGGCTTAGAAATTATAGATTGACTCACACAAAACAATTTTAGCTTTAATTCCCAAAATCAAATTCACTTCAGAACACCTTCTAGGAAAATGATTATGTGGGTAAACTTCAGACTTAAAGCCTGATTAGGAAATAAACACTTCATGAGATACATCATATTGCTAGTTTTTATTTGTCTTAACTATTTGAAATGTGTATTTACTCCCCATTTTGTGCTCACTGCTGAAAACACAATTTCTCAGCAAAGATTTGCTCTATTTTTATATTCCTATGTTTTCTAAAAACTAAAACTTTTTAAGTTCTATAAATTTAAAATAATATTCTGGTGGCCCAAAATTACAATGCATAAGAGCAAATCAAATTGTTTTTAACTGAAGGCATATTTCCAAGTTCACATAGACAAGGCAAAGATGTTTTCTGGAAATATTTTCTAGAAATATTTTAATTTAGCGGGGTGGCACCTGTAGCCCAAAGGACTAGGGCCCTAGCCCCATATACTGGAGGTGGTGGGCTCAAACCTGGCCCTAACCAAAAATTGCGAAAAAAAAAAAAAATGTTTAATAATGATGCTTTGAAAACTATAAACAAAAAAAAAATTTTAAGGAATTTATAAATACTGAAATAGATTTATATAAATATACTATCAAAATTTTACTTAATGAAAGTGAGACCAAGTGACTAATGACATTAAAAAGCCATTGAATTGTTTAACTGAGTGTCTCTGAGCCTTCTGGACATGAGGAAGGACAGTTGTGAGGCCACTGTGTTGTCCTGGGAGCAGCGGCTGAGTGATAGGTATGATTCTTAAACCACACAGATATTCCTTAGCAAGCAGAGGGTTGGATTAATTTCAACAATAATAAGCATTACATGAAGGTCAGTGAGTGTAAGATGACCTAATAAGACCGTGAGCTCTTGCCAACAGCTTGAAATCAAAAGCACAGCAGAGTTCACTCCAACTTTTCCTTCTTGCTACACACAGAACATTTCTAATACTTTTATTTAAATAAATCAGATCAACTGGTAAACTTGGAAAGTGTAGAGAGCCAGTTTCTTGTTGGAACTCTCAAGTGCTGGATAGTTTAAAGGAATCTGTAAAGATCAGCCTCTCGACTTTTTAACTTCATCAGCATCCCCGGATGGAACATGAGGTCTACAATGTATATGTCGGGAGGGGAGAGGCCCCCAATCACCCCCTTCCGGTCGTGTACCAGGGTAACTTCGTTCCATGCTCTGCCATACTCCCCTCGAACTAGGGAGCAGCCGAGGCCAATTCTGTCAGCCAGAGCCTGCAGGAGAGACAAGAGATGGACCGGGGTAATGAGAGAGGTGTGTCGGGCAGGGGGAATCCTAGCTGAAAACACACCTGGGTTGGAAGGAATACACAACTCTTGTAAAGAAATGCTCAGATAGCAGGCTGCACGCCTGGACTGTGGTGACAGGAGCCAGTCAAATATGATAAGCTCCCTCTCCCTTGTTCCTCAAGATTCTGTGGACTCCAAATCTCTGTGGAGGTCCTACTGGGAAGTGACATTTTTGAGGCTGGCACACTATATTAGCCCAATATGGGGAAGGTAGTTGGAGAAGGTAATGTCAAACAGATTCCAAAAAACTGGAAGAAAATGGGAAATAGAGAATATATACAAGAGACAAAGATTTCAGAGGTGAGGAAGGATAAGAGATTTTATCATCAAGTATTTCAGGATTTCAGTGGTGGGCGAGTTCTGGGTAATGAGTCAGGTGACTCAGTTGCAGCACGAGAGTATTGAATTCAGTTTGCTTAATGAGCTTAAGGTGCCTGCTGTGGACTGAATGTCTGTGTCCCCTCAAAATGCATATGCTGAAGCCCTAATCCCCAAAGTGATGGCATTTGGTGGTAGGGCCTTTCGAAGGGGATTAGGTTTAGATGGGATGGCGAAGATGGAACCTGGTGATGGGATTTGTGCCTTTTTAAGAAGAGAAAGAGACCAGAGCCCTCTCTCTGTCTCTACCACGTGAGGACAGGGAAAGAAGCCAACTAAGACGAGGGCCCTCAGCAGACTCTGAATCTGCTGACACCTTGATCCTGAACTACTCAGCCTCCAGAACTGTGAAGAATAAGTGTTGATGTTTAAGTCACCCCATTTATGGTATTTTGTCACAGCAGCCCAAGTTGATTGATACAGTGCCTATGGGACACTCATACAATCAGATCCTCATATCTGGACACAGAGGTATGATGAAGGAGGACAGGACCTGTAAACCTCAGGCATTCAGGTTCTATCTAAGGCTGTGTGAAGGAAGACCTCACCCTGAGAAGTGCAGAGAGGGGAACAGAAGTGTATCTGGATCAGAACTTTGGGGAAGCCAAATACGTAAGAGAGGTTGGAAAAATAGAGGTGGAAGGGTCTCCTCTGCAGACCTCCAAAGATTGAGATGAAATGGTAAGAAAGGATAAAAGTAAAAAAGGAAGTATCCAAGAAAGAAAACGGTCAAAGACAAATTATTTGGTGTATTAAGCACAATGAGGAGACCACAGTGGTCCTTACTGAGAGGGTGGGAGCAAGGACCAGATGGCAGTGAGTTAGGAGAAACTTGGAGGTTTGCCAAGGAGTGACAAGGGTCTGAGATGACTCAGACTTTTGACCTGGAATGAGAATTATCTATGGGTATTAGTGGTGTGCCAGGTTTTTGGTTAAGATAGGCATGGGTTCAAATTCCAGCCCCACTTCTGGTTGACGTGGGTAAATAATTTTTCCAAGTATCAGTTTTCTTGTACTTAAAGACCGGGTAGTAATTTTAATCTTTGGCTCTTTTGAGACGCTCCACAATTATATTTACCAGGTGCCTGATACATAGCTCAAAATGATAAAAGTCATGGTAATAAGTACTGTGTTACATGAATGGTAGATATGAGAAAAGATCTATATTTTATCTTGATATAATGCAAACTTAGGCATGTTCGGATTTTAAAGGAAAAACAAATAATAGCGAGAAAGAGAGAGAAGACAGATGAGAAGGAAGAACTGCTGAAGCAAGGATTCAAAGGACCAGGAAAGGCTGCCACTTGGATTGTAAATAGAATTAGCTTGGAACTGGATGACGAGACATGTGGATGCAGTGAGGTTTAGAGGTATTTGGGAGATGGTAGGAATTGTATACATGCAGTCCACAGTCTGGAAAACATCTTCTCAGATCCTATTTATATGCCAGACATTGAATGTGATGGAACAAAAGATTGCCCCTCTTTCTGGGGTCCCATCTCAAGAAATAATGCCATCATACCCAGTTGCCCCACCCAGAGTGCCGAAATTATTTTGTTCTTCATGAGTGATCTCTCACATCACACCTAGACAGTCACAAACGCCTTTGGTTCCATCTCCTCGGTCTCCCTCCCTATAAATCTCACATAACCATGTGACATGGCCTTCGCTGTGGTCACCCAGGCTTCCTGCTCAGGCATCTTCTGGCTGCTTTTCCTGTCTCTAGTCTTGCCCCTGCCCAAATCCATTTTCCACTCTGTTACCCAATGGTCTTTCAAAATCATGCACCACTTTCCCCTTGACAACTTCCAGTAGCTACTGTTACATTTTAGGATCAGTGCAAACTCATGTGCTTTATGATCTGGCGTCAGCCCTCCTCCTCTCTTCTTCATCCAAACTATTCTACCCTCCCCCGAGGGACCACTGACTTGCAGACCTGTTATTTTGCATAAGATATTTGCAAAATTCTTGTTCTCCTTCATTCCCCGATGAAATCTTCTGTGGCCTCTCATACTTGGGCTATGTGTCATTTCCTTCTCTGAAACCTTCCTTGACATCACCTTGAAAGCTGCAAGTCTGGCTAAGGTACCAGACTTGAGTGCAGAGACTGTGACTTTAGTATCTCTACACTCTCAGTCAAAGCCCTGGCCAATAATAAGTGTATGATAAATGTTGAATAAATACACTTCAAGTAGTCTGGTGAATATACAGAACATGCAAACATGTGTGTGTGTGTGTGTATAGACACACACAGTACAACCTCTGTAAGTTGACCACCTAAGGGACTATAACAAACTGGTCACCATGTTGAGGTGACAACACAAGGAACTAGTTCTACGGTACTGATACATACATGTGGTGCATGTGGGTCTATGAAAATTAGGTCAACTTAAGGAAGTGATCAAAATAGGGAGGTGGTCAACTATGGAGGTTCTACTGTGTACGTATGTGTACATATATGTATATGCATATTTACATATACATTATGTCCAATATAATTAGATCTGAATGGTAGAATTAATATTATCCCATTAAATGTTAGCAACTGGCTCATTTCAATATATAAAGACAGAGGGCAAATGAAGCAAAATATCTCAAATACCTTGAAAAGCAAAGCTCGATGGTAGAAGGTTCCTTTTTGGATACTTCCAATGGGTATAACGTTGGATTTAAGTTGAAATTTTAGTTCACTTATGTGAAGTTCCCAGCTGAAATCAGGCATTTTATCTTTTGAAATCTTACCACCCATTTTTTCTGCCACATACCTGTGTCAATTACATCAAGATCAACATCAAGTTAATATCGTGGATGATTTGAATAGAATTACATTACACACAGATGTGTAAAAACTACATTCCCTGCAATTTTTATTGTTTTACTTTTAAAAGTACACTTTGCAATAAGTATATGAACATGTTTACTGTATTCAAACCATCACATACAAACTGAAATTCTAGCAATTTCATTCAACACAAAGAAAATAAATGAATGAATATCTATAACAAGGTTCAAATAAATATCACACTACATATGACTGCAGTTTGAACCTTTTATCTTACTCTTCAAGAGCATTTAAAAATGTTTTATCTGAAATCCAAAGCATTGCATTTTTTTTTTTTTTTTGAGACAGAGCATCAAGCTGTCCCTCTGGGTAGAGTGCTGTGGCATCACAGCTCATAGCAACCTCCAACTCCTGGGCTCAAGTGAGTCTCCTGCCTCAGCCTCCCAAGTAGCTGGGACCACAGGCGCCCACCATAACACCCGGCTATTTTTTTTTTTTTTTTGGTTGCAGCCATCATTGTTGTTTGGTGGGCCCAGGCTGGATTCGAACCCGCCACCTTAGGTGTATGTGGCTGGCGCCTTAGCCACTTGAGCCACAGGCACCAAGCCCAAAGCATTGCTTTAATACATGGTTATTCTGTCAAGGAATTCAAACTTAAAGACAAGACAAACACACAGAAAATTTTCCTACTACTTTCCCAAACATTTCCAAGTTTAAAAAATTTATTATTTTTCTTTTAAAATTTATCTCTTTTCAATTTAGAGAAAGAGGAGAAGGGAAAAATAGGCAAAAAGGACAATAAGGTGGCAGGTTACTGGGTGAGGCAGGATGAATGTGGCACCGTTTGCTTGTGGGTTTCTCCTCATATTAGGCTGTCACCAAAGACATCGATAAGCACGTGTGCAAAATCCTTGGTCACCCAAGGCCACCACACTCTTGGAGTAAAGGGAGTACTGTACGTTTTAAAGAAATACTTTCCTTTTGTATGTGAAACCAAGTGAATGGTTTTTAAAAAGAGAGAGAGAGGGAAAGAGAGAGACAGAGTTGGGGCAGAAGCTGCAGAACTGCCTACAGTTCCACCCAGCCAGGGCTGCTCCAATGAATGCCAAGGAACCCAAGCCGCGGGGACGCATCTCTACATCTCTCTCTAGCTTGGTGGGTCTTGGGTTAAAAAAGACACTTATTTGGGATGGATACAGTGTTTCTGATAGGAACGAAGGATGAGGCGAGAGCTGCAGCAGAGTTCTGCTTAAGCCATCACTTCTCAAGGGCATCGGGAAAACTTCAGTAGCCAAAAGTGTTCTCTTCCAGCTCTAGCTGACAAGAAGTCAATGATCTGGCAGCTGTGTTACTTGCAGTTGTCACGTCCAGGTTTGATGACTGCAACTCACAGCTATTTGGAGCAGATACAAGCTCCCATGGAGACTGCAGCTGTTGAGCAAGCCAGCAGCTTACCTACCGGGGAGTCTGGAAGCCTATCCTCCACCCTCAGTGAGTCCTGATCCCTCACAGCCACTGACTTAAATTCCCAGGCTTCCTGTAGTGGAATTTAGATTAAACACTCCAATGAAGAGGATAGATTAGCCCTGAGCCTGCTCCAGCAGACATCACTTAGAATGTTCACACCCCATCTTAGAGCAGCAGAAAACACTGAGTATCAGATAGGCCACAGAGACGTAGAGTTTGGCTATTTGTATTAGAAAATAACTTGTGAGTTTATAAATGGTGCACAGTAGGGTTCCTGTAAACTGAGTACACCTATGGTTTCATGGCAAACTTTTGATTCATTCATAACATTTTTTTTTCCTTTTGTAGTTTTTGGCCAGGACCAGTTTTGAACCCACCATCTCCAGTGTATGGGGCTGGTGCCCTACTCCTTGAGCCACAGGAACCACCCCATTCATAACTTCTTTAGGATCACACCAAAAAACACTTTTAATAGTTTAGCAGAAAAACCTAACAGGCTTTTTTTTTTCTCTAAGCAGTTTCCAGCTTCTAGCTCTGATTTGGGGTAGAAATATGACCTAAAATAGAAATTGAGGATTTTTTTCAATTCACTTTTTTTCTACTTCGGAGACAGAGCATAATTTTATTATGGTATATGTGTCTGAAAATTGGCTGAAATATGTATACCAATAAATTTTTTTCAGAAATTAAAAACGTATACATGGTCAACTTACTTTGCAAGAATCTCAATTTGTTCCTTAATATTGGTTATAGGCAGTATTGATTTGTTCACCTCATGTATGTACATTAAGAAATTAGGGTCAAAGGGAGGGTACCACTCTTTCTCAGGGCTTCCATCGCTGACCAATTTTGGTGCCGCTAGAATCTCTTCCTCCTCTTTCAGTTTTTCCTCTTCTTTTTTTCCTCTGCCTTTCCTTTGAGAGTTAACAACAGCAATTAAAACCACATCGTCAGCTAAACACATGAACGAACATCAACTATGGTCTGTGTTGTTTTAAAGAGCATCAGAAACATCAGGTACAGTTGCTATGAATTTGAACTCTGTGGATTCACTGATGTACACATTTTAAAAAAATATAGTTGGCCTTCTGTATTCACTGGTTCTGCATCTACAACAAATGTAGATGGAAAATATAATATTCTAGGGTTGTAGAATCCATGGAGGTGGAACCCACAGATAGAGAGGGCCCATTTTTCTATATATAGGTTCTGCAGGGATGACTGCGGTATTTAAGTATGTAGGATTTTGGTATCTGTGTGGCTTCCTGGGACCAATCCCTCACAGATATGAAGCAATGACTATATTTTATACATCAACATACATAGTTTTCAAATTTTCAATGACAACAGTTGAGTTTTAAGTCTATATTATGCAGAATAAACTAATGAGAACACTATATAACTGATATTATTTTATGAAAATCATATATTGGACTTCTGCACAGTTGCCTAGCAAGGTGTCTGGCACAAAGTAGGCATAAGATAAATACTTTAAAAATTGGAAAAAATGAGGTTGCCTCCTCAAAGAGGCTAAGCCAGTCTTATCTCTCACTTCAGTTAAGATCCTCTTCAAGTAGTGGTTCTTAACCTTCCTAATGCCACGGCCCTTTAATACAGTTCCTATGGGTCACAACCCACAGGTTAAGAACCGCTGTTTCAAGAATAATTTGGATTGGCCAGGCACAGTGGCTCATGCCTATAATCCTAGCACTCTGGGAAGCTGAAGCAGGTGGATTATTTTAGCTCAGGAGTTCAAGACTAGCCTGAGCAATAGCAAGTCCCTGTCTCTACTAAAAAATAGAAAAACGGAAGCAAGAGGATCACTTGAGCCCAAGAACTTGAGATTGCTGTGAACTATAATGCCACAGCACTCTAGTCAGGGCACCAGAGGGAGACTCTGTCTCAGGAAAAAAAAAAAAAAAGGAGAAGACTTTCAACTACTGATTTTAAGAAAAATTATCTAAAATGTGAAAATAAAGCAATAAAAAGAACCAAAATTAAAATGGCTCATAATTTCCATGTCAAATAGGAGCAAAGATTCATCTGAGGTTTATCTAGGGAAACATATTTAGTTCTGTACTTGGTGAAAATGGAATTTACCTAGTAGATAGTAAGAATATTGTTTACTACTGGCTTAGTGCCCATAGTACAGTGATTATGGCACCAACCACATGCACTGAGGCTGGTGGGTTCCAACCCAGCCTGGGCCGGCTAAACAACTATGACAACCGCAACAACAACAACAAAAAATAGCCAGGCATTGTGGCAGGCACCTGTCATCCCAGCTACTTGGGAGGCTAAGGCAAGAGAAAGGCTTAAGCCCAAGAGTTTGAGGTTGCTGTGAGCTGTGATGCCACAGAACTCTACTGAGGGCAACATAGTAAGACTCTGTCTCAAAAAATGGGGGGAGGGAGCAGTGCCTGTGGCCAAGGAGTAGTGCGCTGGCCCCGGCCCCATACACTGGAGGTGGTGGGTTCAAACCCAGCCCCAGCCAAAAACTGCAACAACAACAACAAAAAGAATATTGTTTACTACTAACTAAAAATTCTGGATTTAGAGAATTACTAGCTAACATGTATATTTTTGTCTAATAGAAATGCAAATAATTTCTGTCCAGTGGAAAAGATATTCTCAAAGGTTACAGTTTGTTGTTCTGTAAGATGTTAACCATTTTGGTATGTAACTTAAGATTCTTTGTATCACATTCCTTAAAGTTGAATATAAATATAAATATCTTGCACCTCAAATGTTCTTTGAACCAGTATTAACATCTTACTGGTTTTTTTCATAGATTAATGAGTAGAACAAAAACACTGACACGGGTTCTCATTCCAAGTACTGTGGAATAAGCACACTTCGCCTTGTCTCTCCCATTGAATACAGTCGCAAAAGCTGCGCAGGAGGCATGCAAATGCTATTTGAGGACCCCGGAAAGTAGCAGCAAGATCAGAGAATAAAATGTGAATTACTGCTGAGCTAATGGTAAGCTTATCCTTTTATTTTTTTCCCACTAAACCTAGCCCAATAACTGGAAGTGAGCATCGGCAAAGACAGATCTTAGAAGCAAGAAAGGAGAAGAAAGCTCTTGCTTTTGTTTCTGCTTTTTCCATTTTTTAAAAATTTAATTTTAATACTTTAAATTTGGTTTTGAGACAGACTCTCACTGTGTTACCCTAGGTAGAGTGCTGTACTGTCATCATAGCTCACGGCAACCTCATACTCCTGGGCTCAAGTGATCGTCTTGTCTCAGCCTCCCAAGTAGCTGGGACTACAAGTGTGCACCACCTTGCATGCCTAGTTTTTCCATTTTTTTGTAGAGACGAGGTCTTGCTCTTGTTCAGGCTGGTCTCAAACGTCTGTGCACAGGTAATCCACCTGCCTTGGCCTCCCAGAGGGCTAGGATTACAGGTGTGAGCCACCTTCCTCCTCCCATGGCGTGCTTTTTCCTTATTCTTTTCCATTCTTGTGTACCCTAGCTCCTAAAGAATCCTCTGATTCTTTAGGTGGCAATGGAATCCCAACAGAACCTGAAACGCCGTATAGCCATCCAGTCCTTCTGCTCTTTGGCAATAGATATGAGTGTAGTCACAGCAAGAGTGCAGCAAGCAGGGTCAATAAACTTTCCTGGTTGGAGCACCTTAAGGGAAGCGCCAAGGAACCAGAAAAGACAAAAGAGATGGTAAGGAAATGCCTTACTCAGGAAAGCAATCCTGTAAAATTGTTTATAAATTCTTAGGTTTATCATGAGCTGTACATGCCAAATGGTAGGAACACAGACTTTAAGAACCAAACCCAAGTCCCATGGTACACACTGGTTGTCCTACATGTAGGACTGATTTAAAAGCCCTGTAAAGACTTTGAAAAGTGGACTGACATGGAATGATAATCCACAGAAGGCTGCCTAAAATTTGAAGCCGAAACTCAACTGGATCAATTACCTGCTAAAACATACATACAAAAGGAATATCTGTGAAATGTAAATAAGACTACAGATGAAGAACCAGGAAAATCTTAACTCCTGGGAAAAGGCAATCAAAAGACACAAAAGCTAAATGACATAGATGTTTTTTCACAAAAACTTTTAAACTTTTAAAACTTTTAAAAATAAAACATAAGGCTAAACACTCTTGAAATAAATAGAGAGTTCAGTCTTAGACAACAAGAAAATATAAAAATATTATTTTGGAACGAAAAAATACAGTGACAAATTTTAAAAGGGCATAATTATATGAATGGGTTTAATAGACGAATGGAGATAACAGAGAAAAAACTAGTGCAGTTTAAGGCAGAATGATAAAAAATTATTTGAGAAATGTGGAGAACAAAAGGTTGAAAAAACTTGACAGACTTTCAGGGACCTTTTGTTGTCACAAAAGTCTCAGAAGAGGAAAAGGGGCACAGTATGGAAAAGATATATTGAATAAATAAGGGCTGGTATGGCATCCTCAATTTGATCAAAAACAAATTCACATAGCCGAGAAATTTTATGAATGCCCATACGGCAAACCCAAAGAAATCCACTCCTAGACACATCAAAATGAAACTACTGAGAATTAAAAACAAATCAGATGACATGGCTGTCAACACAGAAAATCCCAAGGAATCTGCCCAAAAAAATTCCAGGACTCACAAATGAGTTCATCGAAGTCTCAGGATGTAAGATCAACACACAACGGGGCACCTGTAGCTCTGGGTAGGGCCCCAGCCGTGTACACTGAGGCTGGCGGGTTTAAACCTGGCTTGGGCCAGCTAAACAACAATGACAACTGCAACAACAACAAACAAAAAAAGACTGAATAGTAAAAAACCCAACAGCCCAATGCAGAAAATGGGCAAAAGATTTGAACAGACATTTCACCAAAGAGGATAGAAGGACGGCAAATAAGCACACAAGTAAATGCTCAACATCGTTAGCTATTAGGGAAATGCCAAGTAAAACCATGATGAGATACCACTATTTACATATCAAATGGCTAAAAAGCCCCAACAATACCAAATGCTGACAAGTATGTGGAACACTTGGAACTCTTAGACATTGCTGGTGAGAAGGCAGAATGCTATGGCCACACTAAAAGAGTCTGGTAGTGTCTTATAAAGTTAAACAACCAGTTATGACGTGACCCAGAAATCCCACTCCCAGGTATTTGCTGTGGAGAAATTAAAGCTTACATTTATGCAAAAACCTATATATGAATAATTATAGTAGCTCTATTCACAATCACCAGAAACTGGAAACAACTCATATGCCCTTCAACAAGCCTATCCATATAATGAAATACCACTCGAGAATAAAAAGAAATAAAATAATGATACAAAAACAATTAGAAGAATCTCAAAGGCATTATGCTGAGTGGAAAAAGTCATCATGTACGATCCCACTCACATCGCATTCCCCAAAAGACCAAACCATAGTACCAGAGAGCAGGTCGGGGGGAGCAGGGCTTAGGGTTCTCGGGTGACAGAACTGTTTCATATCCTGATTGTAAGGACAGGCACACACATCTCCACTTCTGTTAAAACTCATAGAATTATATACAAAAGTCCATTTTATGGTTAATTTAAAAATTAGAACAGACCTTGCCATGTTTCCATTTTATATGTGTATGAGGGTTACAATTTTACTTTTACACAAATTATATTTTAACCACTGTAGATGGACAGTTGCTCTTACTTAGTGGAGCTCACCTGGGGCACTGCTGCTGGGACCCAGTGAGCAACCTCCACTTCCTGCTCTCCACAAGTGGCCACAGACTTGAACATTTTCAGTACCAAAGGTCACAATCATTACTGTGTTGAAATCATCTCTGGGCTGATAGATAATGCATATCTGTCTTTTGTCCCTCAGTACAGATTACTTTCTTGACTTTTCACCACCAGCTGGGAGCCAGTACTGGCAATCCTCTGGGAGGAAGTGGGGAGGACTTCCTGAGCCCCCTGTTAGAGCAGCTTCATGAAGAATTTGCAGAAACTTAAAAGGGAAGGTGCAAGGGCCAGGGGAGTCAGTCTTCTCACTTCTTGGCTGGGCAGCGGCTCAGCCTGTCCCTTTCCACATTTTTTAGCTTTTGCTGTTTTTTCTGAATAATTACCAAGGCTCAAGTATCTAATAAATGACCTTTCTGTCTTTGAAATAGACAAGTTCTTGGCTTACCCACAGTCACACAGGAACAGATCAAGAGGCAGCAACCTATGGCCAAACATGACCTTGAACAGTGGTTCTAAGAATGAATGGAGTCTGTAAGTTCCCAGGAGTTCAGGCTGTCTGGAGGACGCTGGTATGGGCTAGGGGGCTGCTCCATGATCCCAGCTGCAATCACAGACCTCCTCCCCTGCCAAGCCCAGCTCTTCAGCATGCCATCTCCAGAACAGGCCAGGGTGGGACATAACATGGGGGGGACTTTTGTCCCTTTACAAGGGATAATACTGCTTCTGGTTCCAGACTCACAGGCAGTACCCCTGCTGGTTCAGCCAGCACATTCTGACCGGCCTTAGCTCTACATTTCAGTTTTTCCAGCAGAATTTTGTCACTTAACTACTGACATGCAAATAAACACTCAAGTTTGTGATTAGAAAGAATTGTTGCTTTACCTAATATCTACCCCACTCTCTCCTTACGTACGATGCTCTCAGTGACATCTGTCTCCTTTTTGAGGGCAGATTTCCTTACACACCTTGTTTATTGTGATAGGAGCTGATGATATCAGAGCAGCTGCTATTGCAGCCCCTTGTTACCTCGCTGAGAACAAGGAACTCAAAACAACAAATCTGTCACAGGGTCAAGAAAGTGAGGTTAGGCCAGGGCAGGCAGGCGAACCCCCTAAGTTATGCACTCACAAGCATTGAGCATCTGTTCCTCCAACAGATTATTAGGGGAGGGAGTTATTCATCTGTAAGTAGTACTTGAAGCACAGGGTGGGAGGGACAGATCAACTGAAGTCCACATGAGTTTTCTTTTTAACTTATTTTGAGGAAAAAATAGAAAACGAATGCTATCAACTGCTATTTGAAAATTACAAACTCTATTAACTATAACCAGTACTACAAGTTTTCTGTTTCCTAATTAAATATTGTATTTGCCGCAGCTAAGAATGGAGTTCAATCATGTATTAGTAAATACACCAATCCTACGTTACAATAAAATCTCTAAAACAAAACTTAATATTTCCCAGATAGATTATCTTAACCCTCTTTTTTTTTTTAAAGGATATATTGGACATCTTCACATACATAGTTTTTAGTAAATTAGAAACCAACACTAGGAACATTGATTAAAACTGCCAGAAGCACAGACAGGTTTGCCTGTTTTCTGAAACTGGAACACCCAATTCCGTGGCCACCTACAAAACAGAAGCGGGAGTATTTCTTGCTGAGTGTGCTGCCTGAAGTCAAAAGAAAAAAATCATTTAGCATGTGGGAGCTAATATCTGGTATGCCTTCAGGGGAGGGCGATCTTCTTGAGTGATTAAAAACAGATAATTTAATGAAACTCCTGAATTGTTGTTTCCTGCTGCTATAAATAGAAGCATTTCTTTTGGACTTTTTCCCTAGGAAGGCTGCCAGGTTGTATCAATAAGGGCTTCAATAATTAAATGAATTTCATTTCTAAATGCAGATGGAAACAGACATTTGGAAATTAGAAAATTAACTCCTGTAAAATTAATCTGCGGAGAGAGTATCAGTTTATGATTAAAGAAAGTAGAACTCTTGCCCTTCCTACAGAAGCTTTAGCAGAACTACCTCAGAAAACAGGGATTTACTGTGGGATCCAAAACCCGGTGGATATTTTCCTACACTCATGGGTGGATGAACAGGAGGAACAGGTGAATATACAGAATATTTGGCTGGCTCTAAATTGTGTATGGACACTTTCAAACCACGCACTCCTTTCTAATACCCTCAGGTTTTTAGATATATAAATTATAGGACGAGGCTGGTAAAAAAAAATAAAAGTCATTAACTCAGCCCACTTGGGGTTTCAGTTTAAGCGGGAAGATTGTGGTATGTGGGGAATTATCACAGTGCCAGTCGGCATAGGATAGATTCCACATGAGAGGCAAAGATGAGAAAGTCAAGGAATTCAGTGCTAAAAGGAATCTGTTCCATTGGATGTCCAACTCTAACCAATCTGTTCCAAAAGCATAGGAAAGAAGAGGGCATGGTTGCAAGTGGAGAGAGGATTTGTTCTGCGTTATGTGTGTGTGTGTGTGTTTGTGCGTGTGTGTGTGTGTGTGTATGTTTTATTTTGTTTCTTGTCTGTCTCTCCAGTAGGATATGACTTCTGTGAGGGCAAAGGATTTTGTTTATCGCTCTTTCTCCAACCCTGGGACAATTCCAGGCACATAGCAGTGCCTAGAAAATATTTGTTAAATGAATTAATATATTCAAGAAAGGAAAGGGACAATATTATTAAAAGGTGACTATCAGACTATACCTGTTTCTGAAAGGCTTTTCTCATTAGTCAAGGCTCTGGGGAAGACACAAAAACAGTTAAAGGGTAAAAGGGGAGTTTGCTGGAAATTATTTTAAAAACAAAAATTTGGGGGAAACCATTATCACCAGGACCGAGATTATCTGAGTAGCAGAAATATGAAGGTATATGTTATAAATGTAAAAAGAGGCCAGAGATGACGGCCTGGAAGCAAGGTGGGAAATACGGAGGGCCATGGGTAGAGTTTGGGCTTCATCTGGAAGATGATAGAGAACCATTGTTTGGGGCACAGTAATATGACTGGACTGTCATCTGAAAAAGGCAACTCTAGGGGAGCACGGAGGCTGGCTCTGTGGAGGACGACTCAGAGGGCAGGGGCTCCAGAGCAACAGGGCGGCTGCTGTGATTGGCATGCAACACGCAGGCCTGGACTAGGGAAGTAAAAGAAAACAGGAAGGGAAGGAATAGATTTAAGAGGGAGGTGAGGAAGGCACAGTGGTTAAGACTAAGAAAGTCATTTGGTATAGAGGACAAAGGGGAAGAAGGACTTTTAGGCAGTTCCCAAGCTTGGACAATGGTATGGGGATATGGTTAACATGAGTCAACACAGGGAATAGAGGACGATGGGGGCTGGGAATTGGGAGAACAGGGATTTTAGGTCAGGCTTGAGGTGCCTCCAGAGGGACAGTGCAGAGAACTCCACAGGCCCCTGGATACACAGATCCAGACTTAGGGCAGAGCTCTGTGCTGGCAAATGAAGCTGAGCAGTAGCTAAAACTTGGGAGAGTAAGAAAAGGTGCAGAGGGAGAGTCTAGAGAATCTGAGATTTAAGGTACCACAAAGGATGAGGCAGTAACAGGGCCAGAAAAGAAGGGCTGTATGCATAGATCAACCCGACATGGATCAAATGAGATAAAGATGTGAGTGCCCAGAGAAGTTACAGAAAAAAAAAAAAAATAGCAATGTCATTTATCACAGTAAAGCAAACCAAGGCTGTCTAAAGATCAGCATTTTGATAGTTACAAATCAACTGGGGGTTGAATTTCAACCCCAAAACACTACCGAAAAGATGTAAGCTTAAGAACCAGGGTGAGCTTTAAGAAAAAGAAGGTAATGAAAACAAAAACAAAAGCCACCTAAGAACAGCAGAAGAACCAAAAGTTAAAGCTGACAGGCTGACTGATCTGTGTGAGCTTTGATGGAAGAACTGAGCACACAATGGGGCCGGTGCTCACTCAGCAGGCAAGGGGCCTGTGCCCCTTCAGTGAGGGGGCAGAGGGCTGAGTCTCCCGCCAAGGCCACAGCTGGGTAGACTAAAGGGAGACACCTGGCTTAGCACCCTTAGCACAGTGGCTACGGTGCCAGCCACATACACCAAAAGTGGTAGTTTCGAACCCAGCCTGGGCCAACTAAACAACTGCAACAAAAATATAGCCAGGTGTTGTGGCGCTGCCTGGAGTCCCAGCTCCTTGGGAGGCTGAGGCAAGAGAATTGCTTTAGCCCAAGAATTAGAGGTTGCTGTGAGCTGTGACACCACAGCACTCCACCCACAGTGCCATAGTGAGACTCTGTCTCAAAAAAAAAAAAGGGAGACACCTGCCTCGAAGGTAGCCAATATTTTGTGAAAATAAGATCGCCTCTCATGAAAATGCACAAAGAGACACAGAGATTGGACTTGTTATTGGGCCTTTGACACACTGGCTCCACACTAGAAAACATTTTTTTCTTAGGGCCATGGTGATTTATTAGGTCAAGACAGGTCAAAGAGATGTGTGAGTTGTATATGTTTCACGAGCCCCAGGGCTCACAACTCACATGGCAGTTTATGTGTTACACCAAAAGCCTAATTCAAAATAGGTGCCAAATCTGGCCCCATCTCAAATCAAAGTCCGTGCATGCTACAGTTATGGGTGATGAAATAACAAAAAGAAAGCAAGGACAATAATGAAGCAATTATAAACAAGAAACCATGCAAATGGAGAGACAGAGAGAGGAAGAGGGACAGAAATCCGTGCAGGAGTAGCCGCTGTCCCTACCGCTGTTCTCTTGAGGACACACTCTTGCATTAGGTTCTGGGGATTCCTTCATATTCTTGCAAGGTCTGAGTGGGGTTTGCCTCCTTGCAACCATTTATTACAACAACATTAGTGAGAAGGGCCATGAAGCATACTGTTTCTTATTTCCATTTTGCCGGTGAGGAAACTCAGGCGAGGAGAAGATAACCTATTTGCTCAAGACACAGTTTGTGAGTGTGCGACTTGTCCAAAATAACCTTTTCCTATAAGAGTTTGGATTTCTGTTCTTTTGAATAAACGTGAATGCCTATGTATGTCAACCAAAAGCTGTGCTAAAAATAGGGCACAGAAAGAAGTTATTCGTGCAAGAAAGAACAGGGTCTTGGTGTCAGTCTCAAGCAAGTTTCAGGCAAGTAGGAGAGATTCTCAGAGAGGACAAAGGGCAGCACAGGGAAGCGGAGAGCAGGGAAGGGAGGGAGGCGTGCATGCGGCCTGGAATAAAGGGAGCAGATTAGGAGCGGTAATCAGAATATTAGGCAAAGGGAGAGGCTCTGACAACAGAAAATAAAGTCAGAGGAGAAAATTAAAGAGATCAGAGGAGAGGAGAAGACCCCCCACCTACATCTGAGGAGGCCTCGGAGCAAGTCTGTGTTCTATGTAGCCTCCAATACCACAGTGGCCTTCGAGGGCTTACGTCCATCATAATTAAAGCATCATGGAGTGAGGCAGGAAGGCCAAATGGTTTTACTTAAGAATCTAGGCAAGTTCTCACAAGAGAAGAAATATATGCAAACATGTAGGAGAAAGTACTTTAAAATATGCCAGGCCTAAAAAGCTCAAAAGCACAGTACGATTGCACCACCCAAGTAAGAGCTTTTCCTTGTTCCCGTGTCTACCTCTTTCTTGTTCCTTATACCAGAAGGGTCAGAGACTTGGTGAGCAAAGCAGGAGGGGAGAGGAAGCAAAGGCAGAGAAGAAGAGCTGGACAACATGCCGGGTGGGAGCTCCACCAACAAAAGGCAGGAAAGGTGATTACTACTGGGGTGGGGTTTTCAAATGACTGACTAAAGACTGTTGATTTGTTGTTGGTTTGGGGTCTTTTTGTTGTTTTTTTTGTTTTTTGAGACAGGATTACACTCTGTCACCCAGGCTAGAGTACAATGGCAGCATCAGAGCTCACAGTAACCTCAACATCTGGGCTCAAGCTAATCTCCTGCCTCAGCCTCCCAAGTAACTGGGACTATAGTTGTGTGGTACCTACCACACCCGGCTGCGTTTTATATTTTTTACAGAGACATGCTTTCACTCTGGCTCAGGCTGGTCTCAAAACTGGTGGCATCAAGTGATCTTCCTGCCTCAGTCTCCCAGGGTGCTGGGATTACAGGTGGGAGCCAGCTCTGCTGGCCTCCTGTTGTTATGAATTAAAGTGACTGTAGGACTTTATGGTTCCCAAAAGTAATCAGAGTGTCCTGCGTTCTCATCCTGAGGCAGGGAAAGAATTTTGCTCTGAGAAAATTTAAAAGAGATTGTGAGAAACAAAAACAACTTTTAAAGTATATCTTATGAGTTGTACCTAGTTCAACATAACTGATTTTAGAAGAAAAACTCTACTTAAGAGCCACCCCTCCCTCTTACCACCCTTGCTGAGTAATCAGGAAAGCAATGACATGTGTCCTACCTGGCTCCTTTTTCTTTAGTGCCACTTTTGCTAAGAGCAGTATTCCGTCCCGACGTAGGTTCTGATTTGTCTTCTGTGGGAGATCCAAATCCAGTCCTAAAATGAGAACTAATATTTTTTTTTGTCATTCGAATAAAAACCATAACCAGGTTCAATCATACAAAAAATGATAAGTATGTTACATTTGCAAGGCATTTTATAAGTTTATAAGGCACTGTCACTTCATCCTACAATTTGATTCTTTTTGCTGTTATGAAGTGGGAGATCAGGTGTCGTTTCCTCTGTAGCTGTGGAAACAAATCTGCTAACAAGCACCAGTCATGTCTCAAATCACTGTAGGGCCACAGCATGCAGAATGCAAAACCAGGTTTCCTGGCCCCCTTTGCCGAGATCTTTTCCACAGCAATTTAAAAAGCAAGGATGCAATTGTATTACCATCAGAAGAAGAAAAATCAAGTTGCCAAAATCTACAATCTAAAACATTTTTCACTACCACATTGAGGGGAGAGTTGTTTGAAAACAGAGAAAACATCATTTCCTTACATGGTCTTGTCTTTACTTGCTCTTCTCAAGGAAGATGAAGAAGAAATACTTCTCCCATAACCAATGTCTGATGATTTATCTTCCGTAGAGGCAGGTGGAGAACTAAAATTTTACATATTTGAAATTACATATGAATTAAAATAATGTATTTGTGGCGATCGGCTTTATTCTACAAAACAGATTTTTCCCCCTAAAAGTCATATTGGGAGCTGACTTGTAACAGTGACATATTATTTTAAAGCATAAAAGAGAAGTTATCAGACAAAAAAAAAAAAACACATTATAAAGCTTTTCATAAGCTACAACAGAAAATATTTGTATAAAATGCATCACATGAGCACTATGTAGATAGTAGGTGTATACGGATATTAGCATTTTAAAGAAGAATGTGGGTGCTTTGGGTTTCAGTGCTACCATTTACTTCTTATTTAAAAGAAAGATATTGGGCAGTAGATAACGCGCCAGCACACAGTTCTGGAGACTAGTGAACGTCATTCATCTCGGATTGCCCCAATTTATACATTTTTTAATCAGTCCTTGAGTAAGAGGCCCTGACTGCAAAGATATATTTGGAACTGACTGGAAATACGAGTCAAGTTAAAAGAAGAGCAAGCACATTGATTTGTGGTGAGGATTATTCTGTGTCAGGATCTAGGTTTATGGGATGGTGTTTATTTTCATGGTGGTGTTAGATACAGGAGACTAGAATCTGGAAATCTTTATATATTTACTTGCTCATGGGCAAACAGAAAAAAAAACATTGTTCTTCCCTGTATCCCACCCTCCCCTCAAGGACTCACACATCGGATTTACTGTTGATTAAGAGCACAGCCCGTAAGTCACTTGGTTCTTGTAAGCAGAGCTCCTTCAAAGGCAAAAGTTTGGTGCCAGGATTTATCTATAAAAGATATTTTTGTAAGTGAATACTGATAGATATGTTCTCAACTCTTTGATGTGTGCTATTTTACACACACACACGTTAATATACATATACGATATATAAAAAATTAGAAATAGGAACCTGAAACTCGTGGATGGTCTTGCCTTGGGGCAGGGTATATCCAATTCCCCATAATCTTTACTGCTTTACACTTTGCTGTTTCACCCCATAATTGTCATCTTGTCCCCTGAAAGTATTTGAGTTTGCAAATCCATCTATCAATATATACCTAAGGAGGCCGGGCGCAGTGGCTCATGCCTGTAATCCTAGCAGTCTGGGAGGCGGAGGCAGATGGATCCCTTGAGCAAAGGAGTTTGAGACCAGCCTGAGTGAGAGTAAGACCCTGTCTCTCAAAAATAGCCCAGTGCAGGGGCAGGCACCTGTAATTCCAGCTACCTGGGAGGCTGAGGCAAGAGCATCGCTTGAGCTCAAGAGTTTGAGGTTGTTGTGATGCCATAGCATTCTACTGAGGGCAACAAAGTGAGACTCTGTCTCAAAAAAAAAAAAACCTAAGGGAGAATTTACTGTCTATAAAAGCAACTAAGTGCGGAAACAGATTATTAACTGTGTTGTGAGGATTTCTAAAAACAGGATAGATAAAGCCCCGTGCAGGCAATTTTACCAGCCTGATAGCAGACTGGACACCTTTCTAGATATTTTTCCTATCATAATTAGATCCTTTTCTCATCCAAGATACTTTTTCATGATCCTTTTAAATTAAAGCAAAGGGATCCTTTAAAAAATAAGACAGATTCTATCATTCTTCTGCCTGGGACCCTGCCACAGTTTCTCATCCCATTCAAAGCAAGATCTGCATCCTTCCAATGGTCACCAAGAGCCAGCTGACCTGGCCTCTCTTTGACTCTCTGATCTCCGGTTGTTTTCTCAGCTCCAGCTGCATTGGCTTCTTGCTGTTTCTTACGCTTGCCAAGCATATTTGGACCTTCAGGCTTTTGCACTGGTTGTTTCCTTTGCCTAGAGAGGTCTTCCCTCAGATATCCCCACGGCTAAGTCCCTTACCTCCTGCAAGACCACCCGCCCCCATCTTCCCAGCACTACGGATCTCTTCCCTCCCCTGCGGTTCTTCTCGTTTCCACCATGGGACCCATTTATTCATTTATCATGTTTATTTTACTGCCTGCTCCTCCCACTAGTACCTGGGAGCAGAGACCTTCATCTCTTTTGTTTACTGGCATTTTCAAAGCCTCCAATATCAGAAATTTAACATTTACCAAATGAACGAATCAGAGCATTCTCTTTTATAGAGAATGTCATCTCATGAATTTTTTTTAATCTTATGACCAAATACATTTTGTCACAACTTTATTGGCTCTATCTTAATATTTTCCTGGTAAGTGTTCTGTGTTGGGTTTTTTGGGGGGGAGGGTGAGGGTGCTGTTTTCCTCAGTTTTCTTAAAGCCTCTTTGTGTTGATATTAGTATTGGTTCTTTTAAAACTAATCATCATTGAATGCCTTCTAGGAGCAATTTCCCAGAGATCTATGTGTGTTACAGGGTGCTACAGGGCTGTGGTCTTCGACCCACGGGTTCCAGAACTGTATAGGTCTGTGGCCTTGTTAGGAACCGGGCTGCACAGCAGGAGGTAAGTGAAGCTTCATCTGTGCTTACAGCCAGACTGTAACGCCCCATCACTCACATCATTGCCTGAGCTCTGCCTCCTATCAGATCAGCAGCAGCGTTAGATTCTCATAGAAGCACAAACCCTACTACAAACTTGCATGCAAGGGATCTAGGCTGTGGGCTCTTGTGAGAATCTAGAGCCTGATAATCTGAGATGAAACTGGGATGGTGATGCTAGCACGGGGCGGGGGGGGGGGGCAGATGCAAATACAGGTTGTGATTGGCAGAGAGGTTTGTCTGCACAGAGACCATAATAAATCAATTGCTTATAGAATCATATCAAAAACAACCCCCATACACACTGGTCTGTGGAAAAATTGTCTTCCATGAAACTAGTCCCTGGTGCCAAAAAAATTGAGGACCACTGCTTATGGGGTATGGTGGCAGCAGGAGCAGTGGGCAGGGGAAGAAGAAGAAAGAGCCAGAGGAAAGTTCTAGGCTTGCTCTTTTTCGTTATTCAAGATCTCTCTAATTCTCTACTGCCATGATTAGGTGCTCCCGCCAAGTACAGCTCTGCTATGTGACTCTTCTATGACCTTGTCCTCACTGCTCTTTGGAACGACATTGGTCCATGAGGGCTCCTGCCTTCAGCCGTACCCTCCCGGCCTGAGCTTCTGCACCTATCTGACAATGCACAGAGCTGTCTATACACTTCTGAGTGCTCCTATAACTTGAGGAAGCATGTATTTTTGATGGTGCTTTCTGAGATCTGCCATCTATAGCACTCTTATTTCTGTGATTTTCTTCCCTTCTGAACACCTTCAACCTGATCTAAGAGACTTTGGAAAACTCCAACTCTTTTTTTTTTTTTTGAGACAGGGCCTCCCTCTGTTCTCCAGGATGGAGTGCAGTGGTGTCAGCATAGCTCAAACTCCTGGACTCAAGTAATACTCCTGCCTCAGTCTCCCTAGTACCTGAGATTACAGGCATGTGCCACCATGCTCTTCTAATGTTTAATGTTTTTTTTTTTTTAAGAGATGGAATCTTGCTATGTTGCCTAGGCTGGTCTCGAACTCCTGGGCTCAAGTGATCCTCCTGTTTCAGTGTAAGTGCTGGGATTATAGGTGTGTGCCACAATGCGTGGCTCCTTAAAATTTTTTGATGTCTGTAGATCAAATCTGCTTCCTAGTTTTGCCTAAAATGGGATTTGTGGGGTTTAAATATTTTCCCCATTATCCTTACTGTTTTTGGTTTCCAAAAGAAGTAGAAAATGCTGACTTAACCAACCATGGCAATAAGTCCTCTCAATTTTTTATTTTTTAAATTGAGACAGAGTCTCACTTTGTTGTCCTTGGTAGAGCACTTTGGCATCATAGTTCACAGCAACCTCCAACTCTTGGGCTCAAGCAATTCTTTTGCCTCATCCTCCCAAGTAGCTGGGACTACAGGCACCTGCCATAATGCCTGGCTATTTTTTTTAGTGGTCCTGGGCTGGGTTTGAACCCATCAGTCCCAATGCATGTGGCTGGCACCCTTAACCACTGAGCTACAGGCACCCTTCCAGTCCTCTCAATTTTAATTTTTAGTTTCCCACTTCTCTCAGAATTCTCACTAAATTACATGATACATTGTTTTAAAATTGTGATTATAAATGTAGTTAAGTAAAACAATATTCTTCAGGCTCGGCGCCCATAGCTCAGTGGTTAGGGCGCTGACCACATGCACCAGGGCTGGTGGGTTTGAACCCACCAGGGCCTGCTAAACAACAATGACAACAATAAAAACAAAAAAGCCCGGTATTGTGGCAGGTGCCTATAGTGCCAGCTATTTGGGAGGCTGAGGCAAGAGAATCACCTAAGTCTAAGAGTTTGAGGTTGCTGTGGGCTGTGATGCCACAGCACTCTACTGCAGGTGACATAGTGGGACGCTGTCTCCAAAGAAAAAAAGACAAAAAAAACAATATTCTTCTTTGTTACATTTTTAAATCCAGTGTTAAAATTTGTTTAATTACAACCATATTGTAATTAATAAAATAAAAAACTTAGACTTGTATACTTATCATTTATACTAAGCTATAGATGTAATAGAACCTCAAAATTAAAAACGTTCCTTCTCAGGCAGTGCTGGTACTCAGTGGGTAGGGTGCCAGCCACATACACCAAGGCCGGCGGGTTCGAATCCTGCCTGGGCCAGCTAAAATCAACAATGACAACTGCAACAAAAAATAGCTGGGCATTGTGGCGGACACCTGTAGTCTCAGTTACTTGAGAGGCTGAGGCAAGAGAATGGCTTAAAACCGAGAGTTTGAGGTTGCTGTGAGCTGTGACACCACAGTACTCTACTAAGGGTGACATAGTGAGACTCTGCCTCAAAAAAATAAAAATGTTCCTTCTTTTATGTCTTCTTTTTCAAAAAATTGAGACAGGGTCTCACAGAGTTGTCCAGGCTGGAGTGCAGTGGCTTTCACAGGCACCATCATAGCATGCACTACAGTTTAGAACTCCCGGGCTCAAGCAATCCTCCTGCGTCAGTCTCCCACATAGCTAACACTATAGGAGCAGGCCACCACACCTGGCTTTTCTTCTACATCTGAAACTTGAGACTGGCATCACCAAGCTAGTTTGACTATAAGTAATCAGGTTCCACTTAAAACTCTATAAAACCACAGAATCCTATAACCAGACAAAGTTAAGGATGAACTGCTGATTTCCAGATTTCTGTCTGTTAAAATACAAATTATATTAGGTGCTTACAAAATTATAATGTAATGGCATCATGATTAAAGAAAATAGGATTATCTTACACACTAAAAGACAAATAATGTGCTGCCACTTACCCGGCCATAATCATAGAAGCCATCACTAATTATGTTACTTGATGATAAATAGCCAGTCTGGCTATATTTCAGGGGAAGATTGTTGTTGAGCAATTTGTTATAAGCTGTCTCGCTGAATTTATTTTTTCGATTTCCTGATAGGTTAACTTCATCAAGGATATCTAAAGCCCTGTCAATAAAAACAAAAAGCATTGTTTGCTTTACACAAGCAATCCAAGAGTGAGCTCCCACTTACACACCTGCTTATGATTTAGAAGTATGGACTGAGATGGAAGGCCTCCCCAAATCTGTCCTTCTTATGGGTATACATGTCTGCCATGTAGTAACTCATTCAAATAGTTGAAAAAGACATGTTTGGTGGGAAAAAAGCTCTTTGTTTACTTAAAGCAAAATTAGTATTGGATCCCAACATTTTCAGCTAAATAGGCAACAAATGTAAAGAAATCCATGTTTAGAACCTGGTACAGTGGCTCACGCCTGTAATCCCAGCACTCTGGGAGGCTGAGGCAGGTAGATTGCCTGAGCACACAGGTTAGAGACCCGCCTGAGCCAGAGCAAGACCTTGTCTCTGAAAGTAGCTGGGAATTGTGGCAGGTGCCTATAGTCCCAGCTATTCGGGAGGTTGAGGCAAGGGGATCACTTGAGCTCAAAAGTTTGAGGTTGCTGTGAGCTGTGATGCTGCGGCACTCTACCAAGAGCTACAAAGTGAGACTCTGTTTCAAGAAACAAAAAGAAAAAAAGAAATTAATAGACTGACTATAGAAATTTGTAGTTCTGGCTCGGCGCCTGTAGCTCAAGCGGCTAAGGCGCCAGCCACATACACCTAAGGTGGCGGGTTCGAATCCCCAGCCCGGGCCCGCCAAACAACAATGACGGCTGCAACCAAAAAATGGCCAGGCGTTGTGGCGGGCGCCTGTAGTCCCAGCTACTTGGGAGGCTGAGGCAGGAGACTCGTTTGAGCCCAGGAGCTGGAGGTTGCTGTGAGCTGTGATGCCATGGCACTCTACCCAGGGGGATAGCTTGAGGCTCTGTCTCAAAAAAAAAAAAAAGAAAGAAAGAAATTAGTAGTTCTGACTACAAAACATTAAAACCCTACTTGCTCTGGGAGGCCAAAGAGGGTGGATTTCTTGAGCTCAATAATTCAAGACCAGCCTGCAAGAGTAAGCCCCATCTCTACTAAAACCAGAAAAAACTAGCTGAGCAGGCGGTGCCTATGGCTCAAAGGAGGAGGGCACCAGCCCCATATACCAGAGGTGGTGGGTCCAAACCCGGCCCTGGCCAAAAACTGCAAAAAAAAAAAAACCTAGCTGAGCATCATGGCGGGCTCCTCTAGTCCCAACTACTTGGGAGGCAGAGGCAAGAGGATCACTCTCTTGAGCCCAAGAGTTTGAGGTTGCTGTGAGCTGAGCTGTGATGCCACAGCACTCTACTGAGGGCAACATAGTGAGACTCAGAAAAAGAAAGAAAAGAAAAGAAACAAAGAAACTAATAGACTGATTATAGAAATTATTAGTTCTGAATATGGAACTTTAAAACCCTATTGGCTCTGGGAGGCCGAGGCAGGTAGATTTCTTGAGCTTAAGAGTTCAAGACCGACCTGCAAGAGTGAGACCCCATCTCTACTAAAAATAGAAAAAACTAGCTGAGCATCATGGCAGGCGCCTGTAGTCCCAGCTACTCTCAAGGCTGAGGCAAGAGGATCACTCACTTGAACCCAAGAGTTTGAGGTTGCTCTGAGGTATGATGCCGGGGCATTCTACCCAGGGCAATAGGGTAAGACTCTGTCTCTAAATAAATAAATAATAAAAACCCTATTTGCAGATATGCTAAAGGCAACTAACTTTTCTACTCAGGGTAAGGAGAACCAGTTTGGTGAGGGTGGTTAAATCGGGAATTCTGGTGAAAATGCATGGATGAGTGGAGAAGAAAAATAGAAATGGTAGTCTTGGCTCGCCCATGTTAATTTCACACTGAAAGTTGAAAGGCAAGTAGGATTTATTTGGCAATGGCAGAGGGAAGTGAAAGAGGAGCTTGAGACGGCATCCACTCACCCGAGCTTGGACAACTCGGTGGCTGTCAGCTCGTCGCTGGCGCACACTGCCACAGCCCAGCTGGCGTGCTTCCTAACTTCATCGTTCTTGGAGCGCAGGAGATCCACCAGGGGCTCCAACCCGCCGGCATTTCTTAACTAAAAGCAGCATTGAAATTTTACCCATTGAAAATACAGACTCTAAATATTTAGGTTTTTCAATATCTCATTATTTGATTGCCAAAAAGTTTTAACTATGTAAAAACCTTTTAGGAAGTGTCTATATTTACCTTTATAAAATTCGAGGGGGAAAAAATCTATTGCAAAACCCTTACGTGAAGGAGCCCAGTTTTCTGCCCCTAGTACAGTAACAGAGGGAGGTCATCCTGTGTGTACATGGGACAGGGATGGGGCAGGAGCCTGTCTTCTCACTGCCTATGTTCACTGCCCTGTGTGTATTTACTCTGCACCTGGGTGCTGAATGCTCATTTGGCCCTTTGCTAGACAAAGTAAGGGTCTCTCAAAGATGTCCTCATCTCTGGCAGGGACTTTGCAGAGATGATTAAGTTAAGGATCTTGAGATGGGGAGATTCTCCTGGATTAGCAGGTGGATGTGATGTGACCACAAGAATCTATTTTTTTTTTTTTTGAGACAGAGCCTCAAGCTATCCCCCTGGGTAGAGTGTCATGGCATCACAGCTCATAGCAACCTCCAACTCCTGGGCTCAAGCGACTCTCCTGCCTCAGCCTCCCAAGTAGCTGGGACCACAATCGCCCACCACAAGGCCTGGCCATTTTTTTTTTTGGTTGCAGCCATCATTGTTGTTTGGTGGGCCTGGGCTGGAGATTCGAACCCGCCACCTTAGGTGTATGTGGCTGGCGCCTTAGCTGCTTGAGCTACAGGCGCCGAGCCTAAGATTTTTTTTTTTTTCAGTTTTTGCTGGGGCTGGGTTTGAACTCGCCACCTCCGGCATATGGGGTCGGTGCCCTACCCTTTTGAGCCACAGGCGCCACCGGCCACAAGGATCTTTATGAAGGAGACGAGAGTTCTGGGAAAAGAAAATACGGTGGAGGCAGAGGCTGGAGTGACATGCTTTGCAGATCCAAGAAGGGTCACCAACCAAGCAAAACAGCAGCCTCCAAAAGCTTGCAAGGGCGAGGAAATAGATTCCCCCCTACAGCTTCCAGAAGGAATGAATCCCTGTCAGCACCTTGATTTTAGTTCACAGACCTACATTGGGACTTCTGATCTCCCAGGCTGGAGATAATTAATAGATTTGCTTGCTTTAAGCCACTAAGCAGTGGTAATTTCTTACAGCAGCAATAGAAAACTAACATGGTCCCTAAGCTGTGGCAGAGGAACCAATGGGGGCAGGCCGCACCACATCACCGGACACAGCCTCCAAGTCAGCAGGGGGGCAGAGCGATACCCAAGCAATTCTCTAGAAAAAGACGCAACTTTGCTACCCTTATACAGTGTCTTCTATTCCTTTCCCCAAGGAGTGAAGAAAAAGAGCATGGAGGGAACTACATTAATTATATCATTAAAAGAAATTACTCATGTATGAAACTATTCCAATCAGGGAAAGAACAAAGATCTGACAAAGCTCTTGTCTCATATGTGAAATGCAATATTGTATTATCTGAGCCTGGAGGACAGAAAGACTATTCTACCAGTCTGTATGAGTAGTATCTGCAGATAAGAGCCATGTGGGATAGGGCTCACGTTGTCATTCTCATCTCAAACACAGGGACTCTGGCGGGGCTCACAGGTGAGCACACGTGCGGGAAGCATAGAAAAGTTTGCTATGCTTCGCAAGCCAGATTTCTGAACATCTTTATTTCTGGTTGTAAGATAGTAATCTAATTCCACCTGCTCTTCTGGCAAGGATCTAATTTATTCATTTATTTCTCCATTCACTCCTTCCTTCCTTCATTTACAACTGTTTATTCACCATACCTTATGTGCCAGGTATATGTTATTAAAATGGCTGCAGGGAAAAACCTCTCAGTTTCCGTTCCTAAGGCCTCAAGGAGCTCACAGTCTTTCATACAAGAGTCATAAAATGTGAAAAAAGAAGACAAAGGGGTGACCATAAGTGTAAGAGGAGCAGAGAGGAAGGTGGGCCCAATTTCAAATACTGAAGAAAGGCCTTATGGAGGGAAGGGTGGTTAGCTGGGAATTCACCAGGTGGAAAAAAGAAAGCAAGGAGAGAGAATCACAGGTAAAGGTGCTTCTGGAGTGGGGAGTTCCACTGTGCAGGGAGGGAGCAGTGGTGGTTACTAGGCAGGTGCATGTCATGGGGCTCTTGCATAAGGCTAAGAGCAGCTTAACTTTACCAGCAGGTAAAGGCAGGCCCCTGGGGAGATGGGATGGTGTGATGAGGGCCTGGAGGCAGTAAAGGGAGTAGGAGGAAGCAGAAGGGAAGCCCCGAAGCCCTGAGGATTCCAGGAACTAGACAGACTCCTCTGCAAGCTGTGTGAGGGTATGACTGGGACACTGTTTGTCACTGTGCTCCCGATGCCTCACAGAGTTCCTGGCATGTAGAAGATGGTAAAGACACATCTGGTGCCATCCTCCTCCCTGAATGGACAAGTGCAAATGAACCAAGTCAATGGGAAGGGGGAAGGGAGATAGAACAGGGATCTAAGAGACGGAAGAGATGCTATGCTGTCTGGGCAAGCAGCAGAGTTTGAAGCTTGGGCTCTGGACTCGGAACCTGCCATTTCCTGGCTCTCTGTCTCCTTTTATTTTATTTTTATTTTTATTTTTTTTGGAGACAGGGTCTCACTCTGTTCCCAGGCTGGAGTGTGGTTGTATCCTCATAGCTCACTGTAGCTCCCAATTCCTAGGCTCAAGCAATCCTCCCACTTCAGCTTCCTGAGTAGCTGGGACCATAGGCACCTGGCACAATGCCCAGCTAATATTTTCTATTTTTAGTAGAGATGGGGTCTCACTCTGGCTCAGGCTGGTCTCTAACTCTATGAACTTTCAAAAAATATGCAATTGTGCTTTAAAATTATGAAATATATGAGAAATACAAGTATATGTATAACCCATATTCAAATCTAAAGCAGTGGTTCTCAACCTTCCTAATGCCGCAGTGTATTTTCATTATTAAAAAGGGGTCATGACCCACAGGTTGAGAACCGTTCATTTAAAGAATCCTAGTAAAAGGCATGTCTGTCTGTCTACCACCCGGATTAAGAAATGGCACATTTCAATGACACTGAATCCCTGTGTCAGTTGCCTTCTGTCCTTATTCCCCCTAGAAGCACCCACTCTCTTAAATTTGGGATTCATCATTCCCTTGCTTTCCTTTATAGCTTTAACGTATATGTATGTATGCCGAAACAACATATTGCTTAATTTTACATATTTCTGAATGTTATAAAAATGGAATCATAAGCATGTATTTTTTCTACAACTTGTTTTGGTTCAGCTTGTGAATTTCATCCCTGTTCATGTATGTGACTGTAGTTCATTCATTTTCACTGACAGGAGATTCCATTTCATGAATACAGCACAATTAAGTCATCATTCTCTTAACAGTTCGACAATTGGTTCATTTCCAGTTGTTTAGACACTAAAATAATGTTTCCTGGTACCCCTAGGCGAGAGATTCTCTTAGGTACATATCTAGAAACGGAATTGCTAGGTTATACCTATGGTATGCTCATCTACTGGGCTAAAAGAAAAAAAGAATGCCAGTATGTTTTCCAAAGTGTTGTACCAGTTGTGAAGGACTTAAATGACCAGTAGGTTTCCAACACGTGAAAATGTTTCAGATGAATCCACGAAAAACAGGAGAGAAGGAATATTGTTAAAGCTCTCACCTCCGTCCGGGCCTCGACATCGCACGCGATTGCCGCCACGGTGAGAGCGGCTTTGCTCTGCACGACGGTGTTCGCAGAATGCAGCGGGGCGATGATGGCGAGCATGATGCCGCGACTCTGGATGGTGGCGCGCAGCGGCTCCTGCATGGCCATGTTTGTTAGCACCGTCGCGGCGTTGGCGATGGCTCCATCTCGTTTGCTAGACAGGAGATTTATTAACGGATCAATACCATCGGCTTCCGCGGTAGCCCTGAGTAAATGAAGGAGAAATGAATGGGATTCATCTGAGCTCAAGAAATTATCCTCGGAGCATGCAACTAAGCTTATAAAACAAATGAGTACAGAAATGAACAATTTTAGAAATAAATTAATTTGCCATGTGATGAACCCAGAATTGAGTGCCAGTGACTTAAGTGGAGTCTGGGAAAGTTTCAGGTATGAATGAATTTCAATTATCCCTTTCCTACTCCTACAACTTCTGGTGGTAATAGAAAAATATGCTAACTACTACTTAGAAATTCTACTAGGGTCCAAGTGCTTTTTTTTTTTTTACTTAGTTATACTTATGAGACTTGGAAATTCCATTAAAATATTCCCAATCATTAAGAAAATAAAGTCTTGGCTCGGTGCCTATGGCTCAGCCGGCTAAGGCGCCAGCCACGTACACCTAGGGTGGCGGGTTCGGATCCCCAGCCCGGACCGCCAGGCAACAATGACGGCTGCAACCAAAAAATGGCCGGGCGTTGTGGCGGGCGCCTGTGGTCCCAGCTGCGTGGGAGGCAGAGGCAGGAGACTCGCTTGAGCCCAGGAGTTGGAGGTTGCTGTGAGCTGTGGTGCCACGGCATTCTACCCAGGGGGACAGCTTGAGGCTCTGTCTCACAAAAAAAAAAAAAAAGAAAGAAAATAAAGTCTTAAATAGGAGGAATGAGCAAGTATGGAAATTCTTGATCTAAGTGAAAATTCTTTAGCTCCTGTCCCCTTTCTTCAAATTAGATTGTTAATTATAGGCAGAGGTTAACATGTATGAAATCAGCAAATCATTCTGCATGTGAATGCTGCTTGTACAAATTAAACATCAAAGATGAAAGTCATGATATTGATATAAATAATTTCAGTAATGTAGGCATATTCAGTTAAATATCCTATTTCTAGTATAGAAAGACTACAGTTATTGTTTTCATAAACAGAAAGCCTAAATCTTCTTTTTTAAGAACACAGTACTTGGGCGGCACCTGCGGCTCAGTGAGTAGTACGCCAGCCCCATATACCCATATACCGAGGGTGGTGGGTTCAAACCCAGCCCTGGCCAAACTGCAACAAAAAAATAGCCAGGAGTTGTGGCCAGTGCCTGTAATCCCAACTACTTAGGAGGCTGGGGCAAGAGAATCACCTAAGCCCAAGAAGCTGGAGGTTGCTATGAGCTGTGATGCCATGCGGCACTCTACCAAGGGTGACAAAGTGAGGCTCTGTCTCTTTAAAAAAACAAACAAACAAACAAACAAAAAAACACAGTACTTTCCATAGTCCTAGTTTTTTAATCACTTTTAAAACTCCTAATAGTAAAAACAAAAACTAGAGTATTTTAATAAATGGCAGACAATTTAATCATGTTCCTCAATGTCTGGAATTGCTTTTAAAAGGAGGTATTCTAAACAACAAGACACACAGTGCATTTTGATTTTAAAAGAAGATCCAAAATTACATGTTAAAAATCTATTTAAATCACTATGCTATCACCCTGATAATGGAGATCATTAAGACAATAAAAAACATACTTGAGGTTCCCTCCAATAATATGAAAATCTCTTTTAAGTTTCTATTTGACATCTTTTTTTCATTTAGGATCATATAGTAACCAAAACTGAAACAAACAAATCAGGCTACATGATATGGCCCAGCACTCTGTATTCTGATGAGTTAAATCCAATTTAGTTCTGTCACCTGAGTGTGAAGGAGGACTGGTAACTGGATAGACATGACAACTGTCCAGCAAAGAGGAGATAAATACAATCTCATTCAGGAGCCTCCTAGGCCTGTGGGCAAGGAGGTCCTGTGATTGAGGCACAAACTGGGTCTGAAGGAAACTGGACCACAGGGATGGGACAGGAATGAGGGGAGCAGAGGAGGTGGCTGTGGAGAATGACCTTGAAGGGCTCAGTTGGTGTTGACGGTGAAGAGCCACCTTCCCCCCCCCCCATCAAACAGATCACACTGAGAAATTTTTTTCCTTTAACTTATTTTTCAGGCATTTGATGTAACCAGTCTCTTAAATCAAATATTTTGTATTTTTTAGTCATCATAAAATTCCTTAGCCAAAATACATGATTTCTTTGTCACTTAGTGATTTTCCCTTTGACAATGTTCACTTTTTAAAACATCTTGGAGAGTTAAGAAAGAGCATACATGGTGGCACTGCAAACTAGTGCAGCCTCTTTGGAGGGAAGTATGGAGACTCCTCAAAGAATACGAATTAGACCTCCCATTTGATCCTGCAATCTTATTGCTAGGCATCTTCCCAGAAGAAAAAATATCATTTTATCATAAGGACATTTGCACTAGATTGTTTATCGCAGCTCAATTTACAATTGCCAGGACATGGAAACAACCTAAATGCTCATCAACTCAGGAATGGATTAACAAATTGTGGTACATGCACAATATGGAATTACTATTCAACCATAAAAAAGATGGTGACTTCCCATCTATTGTAATATCCTGGATGGAGTTAAAACACATTCTTCTTAGTAAAGTATCACAAGAATGTAAAAGCAAATATCCGGCTCGGTGCCTGTGGCTCAAGCGGCTAAGGCACCAGCCACATACACCTAAGGTGGCGGGTTCGAATCCCCAGCCCGGGCCCGCCAAACAACAATGATGGCTGCAACCAAAAAATGGCCAGGCATTGTGGTAGGCGCCTGTAGTCCCAGCTACTTGGGAGGCTGAGGCAAGAGACTCGCTTGAGCCCAGGAGTTGGAGGTTGCTGTGAGCATGATGCCACAGCACTCTACCCAGGGGGATAGCTTGAGGCTCCGTCTCAAAAAAAAAAAAAAGCAAATATCCAATGTACTCAATACTAATATGAAGCCAGTAGCCGATCTAATGCATGCCCACATGGGAGAAAAACTCAAACTCATTTCAGTTCCAGCTGGGGGGAAGGGTAATGAGGGAAGAGGGGGGTTGGGGTACTCTCACTGAATGGACACAGGGTGGGGGTGTTTGGACACCTTTTGTGTGTGGGTCATAACCACAAGAGGGATTCTACCTGGCAAAATCAAATGTTTTGACCCAGTTGTTTGTACTCTCACATTAACCTGAAATAAATTTACTTTCCAAAAAAAAAAAAAGAAAGAAAGAAAGAAAGAGTACACAGTGAAGATACTTCAGCGGTAGCCATGGATAGAAGCTAGAGTATTTGAAACAAAAGCACGCCAATCAGTTATCAAAGGTTTTCAGGGAGTTTGGGAAAATTAAACCATACATAGGATCACGCATTTTTTTTTTTTGTAGTTGTCATTGTTGTTTAGCAGGCTCCAGGCCCAGGCCGGGTTCAAACCCCCCAGCCCCAGTGTATGTGGCCCGACCACTGAGCTTATGGCGCCAAGCCATATACATCGGTATTTTAGTTTCTCTTGAACAAAGAAATATCAAGTCACTGAGATACACCAGCCACACCTAAGCACTTGGCCTTTCTATTTGGATTTTGCTTCTCTCTCTCCTGTACAAAGGCATATTTACTCCTCCCACCTTCTGCTCTTTTCTTTGCTCTTTACGGAGATAGTAAAGGGAAATACGTAAAAACCTAGCTGTTTAAAAATCCCAAGATTCTTGTACACAGTGGAATACAGCTTTTACTAAATTGAACATAAACGTCAGCACGGGGAGACAGATCACGTATGCACAGCTGGGAGGAACAACTTGCATTATATGTACGAATCTGCCTGTAATTTGCTGTGTGCAGCTCTGTTTATGTCTAAAAAGAATAACTGAGATTAACTTATTATGGTGGAAAAATCAAACTATTATTCTTACCTAAAAAAAAATAATAATTGGGTGGCACCCGTGGCTCAGTAGGTAGGGCGCTTGCCCCATATACTGAGGGTGGTGGGTTCGAACCCAGCCCCTGCCAAACTGCAACAAAAAAATAGCCAGGCATTGTGGTGGGTGCCTGTAGTCCCAGTCCCAGCTACTCGGGAGGCCAAGGCAAGAGAATTGCCTAAGCCCAAGAGCTGGAGGTTGCTGTGAGCTATGATGCTACAGCACTCTACCAAGAGCAACAAAATGAGACTTTGTCTCAAAAAAAAAAAAAAAAAGCTAATTTCATTTACAGAAACAGAGTGCAGAATTTATAATTATTTTAACAACAATTAAAAAAAGGATTGCATTAATTCTGTTTCTTTCGAACCCGGGGCAATCTGTTTTATTTTTCCGTGTCTAATACGTGCACAAGCTGAAGCCTGTCATATTTTAAAAACACATTTCAATTTCCTAAATAGTATCATGTTATCCAAATGAATGGGATGGACGTCAAACTGCTTTGTTACAAAATCCAGAATTATAGGCCCATATGTCATCACAATAATTTGAAAATATTTTCTGATATTTACTCCATCTAGTTGGCGTTGAATCAAGTAAGAGTCTACATTGTAAACTGGAAAAAAACACAAACTGAAAAACAAATATTGGAATGTATAAAACATCAGTTGATATCATTTGACATAGGTTAAACAGAGGTGAAGTTTGGCATATCGTGTGTATTCAACCTATTACCAAGTCTGACTATTTTTCTCTTCCATATTTTCAAATCTCTCCCTTCTCCTCATCCTTCTACTGAATCCAAACCAACAACCTTTCTAGTAAATGGATATAAGTAAAACATAAAGCGTACCCAGGCCTCTAACAGGTCTTGCCTCTCCCCTCCCGATCCTTTCTCCACCTTACAGCTAAAATGATTTTTTCAAATATAATCATATCGTTCCTCTACTTAAAACTCTCATGGTTTCCCACTGCTCAGGATAAAGCCCCAAATTTCTGCCGTGGCCCCCTGTCCACCATCTGCCTCTTTCCGTTTCTCTGTGTGTACCCTAGGCCTCTGTGGCAACCTTTCCATCTCAGGGCATTTCCTTCTGCTTCTCCCAATTCCCTACACACTCCTGCCCCTGGATAATTCCCAGTCATCTTGCATCATTCAACACAAAGGTCTTTTCCTCACTAAAGCATTTCTTGATCCCAAAACTTGGTCTCTTTTGTACA